CCATCGCATAAGGCGTTCAGAGCTTTCGGTCGATTCAGTTGAATGAATCCAATGTTATTCTTCTGGCCCTTCACTCCAACGTTGATATGAGTGTACGCTTTGACAGACATTACAACACCGTTAGACCCATATTAAGACCATCGGGTTTACACACAAACATGTCTACTGCGGCCAGAATTGTCAACATTTTCATGAAAACGGGTGCACTGAATAAGCTGTAGGCGCTCATCACGAATCTGGTCTCAGAATGAGGGGCACGCCATGGGAAAGAGAGTTATGGACAGTTAAAGGCAGGCGCTGTCCATTGTTTTTTCCCATAGATTTTAAATGAATTTTTGCAACAATTATATCACAACTTAACGGTTATATAAGATAATGTAATGAAACCTACACATACCAGCCCCATACCTATTACACCTATTTTGCTACCCAATTATTAATAGTGTGCGCCTCGTAACCTATCCCACCTTAAAACTATTTTACAGATATTTAATTCAATTAAAATGACTACTTTGTCACTCAATTAGTGTTACTCACATAATCTAACAAACGTTAAAAATATTATTAAGGAATTTAATTTAATTTAATTAAAATCAGTATTTTGTGACAAATACTTGTTTAATAAAATGCCTAGGTCATTGTTTAGATTAATCTACTGATACTCTGACCTTCAATTTGTTATTAAAATTAATTGGGTTTTAAAAACTTTTCACACAATTATTGATATAAACATTATGTGGAGATATCACACATTGTTTGCTAAATTAACTATTGATAGACAATCAGGAAATGATTATTTAAGAAACAACAATCAGCTACTTATTTAATCACTGCATTACATAACTGTACAAGCACACTTTGTTTGTTCATTCAATTCAAAGTCAATAACAATTATGACAAATAGTAAAAGTTTTTTTTTGTGAAACAAATACCTGCCGTTGAAAGTGGTCTCAAATGGGAGGCAATGCCAATGCATTTCACCAAATGTCTCGTGAGTAACATTTAATTGGGTTGTAGTTTGGGTGCAATAATGGCAACAATTAATCAATTTATGAAACTATAAAACTATAAAACACCAAACTTTCAAAACAAACACTCGTTGTGCAGATCAGACAACTTGTGAGGCAATGAAAACTTGTGCCCAGACTTCACACCAGCGATCGCATCACTGTTTGGGCCTAAAGTGGGAGGGATTTTGGGCACTACATCCCCGTTAGACACCCGCATACCTGTCCACACTGACCGACCACTTATTGCCATATATATGACATAACTTTATAAATTACTGTTTTCGTGCTATTAATAATACAAACATATTTTCTATTAAATTAATCTAGGTTAATTTACAGCATAATTGTCTGAATCATTAAGTTTTGTGACACTAGTGGCGGGTACGGGTTGGTTGGGTAGGGAGTGGTTGCACACCTCTAGCGCTCGTTCGGCCTACTGTTTACGATAGGGATAAACAGCAATGAGTTGTTTAGTGTGTATAACAAACATCATTACATTGACTGCAATACAGTTTTAAAGTGGTTTTCAAAACACATTTTGTTTGACATTTCAATTGAGACTCAAAGGCAGACACAAAACAAGTGAAAAAACATTTCGAGATAACGAGTCGACTATCAGATGAGTCGGTGTTTAGCGTAAACAATGAGTGCAATGAATGCCGAGAAGATCGACGCGAATGGCGCTAAGAATGGGCTCTTGTTTTACGGGTTCAATCAGGACCAAGGTTGTTTCGCGTGCGGACTACACAATGGGTTCCGGGTCTACAACTCGGACCCCATCAAGGAGAAGGAGAAGCAGGGTATGAATGGCACCACATATTGCACTCACGAGTGTTGTGATGGTGTTTGGCAGACAGACAAAAAAAATAAATGAACGATCACTTGATCCTCCTGTTTGTGTTGATATATATCGCAGACTTCAGTAACGGTGGCATTGGTTTCGTGGAGATGTTGTTTCGATGCAATTATTTGGCATTAATTGGTGGCGGAAAACAACCCCAATATTCAACCAAAAAGGGTTTGTCATCGCTATATAGCTCTCTCTCTCTCTCTCTCTCTCTCGACTTATTTTTTATCTGTTTTCTGTGTATTCAGTGATGGTTTGGGACGACCTGAAGAAGAAGCACGTGATTGAACTCGAGTTCTCTTCAGATGTCAAAGCGGTTCGTTTGCGTCGCGACAGGTATTGACTGTCAAAGACTTCCATCGATGTCTCGATACTAATGACGATTTGTTTTGACAGAATTGTTGTGGTCTTGGAGACGATGATCAAAGTCTATACATTCACTCAAACCCCACAACAGTTGCATGTATTCGAGACGTGCACTAATCCAAGAGGTCTGCCATTAGTTGTCACATGAATTCTCATTGAATTGAGTGAAACAAATGTAATGTTTTTTTTGGTGAACAGGTCTATGCGTGTTGTGTCCAAATAGTAACAACTCTTTAGTGGCGTTCCCCTCGCGAAAGACAGGACACGTCCAGATGATTGACTTAGCGGTTGGTCCCTGTGCTCAGTGTTTGTCATGAAATGCCAACAATTGTCTTGTATTGCTGTGCAGAACACNATTTATGGTAATGATATGCACTAAGACTATTACACTCTATACAGTGTTTAGAGTAAACAAATCAAAACATAGATAAACTGATTAAAAGTTCAATTCGGAGTACTTCTCGTGTACTCGACTCGGAGTAACTCAAGAACTCATCAAATGATAGCAAATGCTATTTCAAAGCGTATAACAATTACACGACATTTCATAATATAAACAAAATTCATGGCACAGACCAGGGATGGCACCGATGAGTATCTCCGGCTGACCAAATTTTGCGTTGTCGCCGGCGTATACGATATCACACATGAGGGCCAACTCGCAGCCGCCGCCCAACTGTCACACCAAGCGTTCAACTCATTGATAATATCGCACTAAGAATATCATGGCGTATGTCTTACGGCGTATCCATTGACGGCGGCGATGGTAGGCTTCACAGATCGCGCGACTCGATCCCAATGGGACAGGAAGTTGCCGGCGAAACACTGCGCGAACGTGTTGTCCACCATTTCCTTGATGTCGGCGCCGGCTATCAGTTCAACAGTCAGGCAAACAATGGTTAGTAAAGAGATGGCGAGCGATAAGAAGAGTACGGACCGGCGAATGCCTTCTCATTTCCGGTCAAAACGATGGCAGCGATGTCTTTGTCGGCCTCGAACTCGTCGATGGCTTTCGACACTTCACTCATGAGTCCATCGCATAAGGCGTTCAGAGCTTTCGGTCGATTCAGTTGAATGAATCCAATGTTATTCTTCTGGCCCTTCACTCCAACGTTGATATGAGTGTACGCTTTGACAGACATTACAACACCGTTAGACCCATATTAAGACCATCGGGTTTACACACAAACATGTCTACTGCGGCCAGAATTG